TTGAAATCGCATCATATGACCCCTTTAAAGCTTTCTATAGATATATTTATCATGTCTGTGAGGCAAATAAGCTATTTGCTGAGTTTCGGTTCTTCATTGTGAAGCGCCTCCTGTTCAAGACCGAGACGGCAGAAAGCGCATCCAGTTTGGTTTCTTTATTTTAATGCACAACGTTTTGTTGTGAGCGCACAAATAAAAGTAGACCCTTTACAGTGCAGAATGATGTATTACTCTTATCTTTTTAAGAAAAAATGCAAGTGATCGCGCTGTCCATGCCCTGTAAAGCACGCTTTAGCTTCCACTCCGCACAAACGATTGGATATGCATCTAATAGCGAACATTTATCTAGGTTAAATGTTTAAACTAACATTGTGATATACTTGAAGTGTTTTATATCTATAGATTTTATTTTAGGTAAGTCGTGTTGATTTGAGAAGGCTATCAACTCACTGTCTGCCGCAGTCCTGGTTACTTAAAAAAAAAAATGTTCCAAATAGGCTATATTTCTAAATTAACTTAAAGTCCCCATGAAATCAAAATTAAAGTTTTTTGGGTGTTAGTATCAATATGTTAGTCTTAAGGTTATCTATAAGGCAGTGTGCTCCGAACACCGCACACTCTGCTCCGGTCCAGAGACACGATAGCACGGAGCGGCGCAGACCACAAAATGTATCAGAGCTATTTCAATTCTACACAGAATGTTATATTTTATAGCAATATGGATGAGATTGTAAAGAAACGGAAATAAATATAACCACTTTGCCATTAAAAACAAAACTCAACTATTTTAATGGCTGCAACAGCAGCTGTGTCTAATAGGGGAAGTGAGAAAAGACACGGGCTCCTGTCGGACTTGGGGCCGAAGATTTCTGATAAGCTGTCGGACAAGGGCCTAGAACTACATGGCTCGACATTATTTAGGCTATTTGTGTTACAACGCAGGTAAAACATATCCTTATTCATGTTGTTAGGCTAATAAAAGTTCAAAGTAAGTAAGTGAATGTCATTGTACTATTACTGTTTTTATTAATAATAAATATATAAATAAATTCATAAAAAGAATAAATGTAATATTAGGGCTGCCCTCGACTAAGGATTTTTCTGGTTGACTAGTAGTCGTTCATTTGAAGCATTAGTCGACTAATCGCACGTTTATAATGGTTAATAAACCATTTAAATCATAATAATGAGCCTTTAAAGGGGTCATATGATGCTTTTTTAAAGATAATTTTGTGTATTTGGTGTAACAGAATATGTTGACATGCTTTATTGTTCAAAAAACACATTATTTTTCAAATACTGTACATTATTGTAGGTCCTCTATGCCCCGCCTCTCTCAAACGCTTCAGTGAATGTCATTGTACTATTACTGTTTTTATTAATAATAAATATATAAATAAATTCATAAAAAGAATAAATGTAATATTAGGGCTGCCCTCGACTAAGGATTTTTCTGGTTGACTAGTAGTCGTTCATTTGAAGCATTAGTCGACTAATCGCACGTTTATTAATAAACTGTTTAAATCATTATAATGAGCCTTTAATTGCCTACTTAGCCTATAAGCGCTCAAGTACACACATAAAGCTTGCCACAGCGCACGGCAGAAATAATGATTATGAATGTGTCAGTGAAAAACAGTAAGGAGACTGCATCAACATTTTAATAATTTGATAAATTAGTGCTTTCTTTGTTCTCGGTTTAACAGATGAACTCGGCGACACTTACTCCTCATCTCCGCAGTAGTGATGCACCTTGTTTCATACGGATTACATAATCCGAGAATATTTGTTTTCCATTTGAATTGGTTCATCTGAAAGTAGACATTTCACTCTCTATATATATATTTTTAATGTCTGTAAGACACGGAGTTTCGCGCTCAAGATCACAGACCGAGACGGCAGAAAGCGTATCGTTTGCTTTCAGTATTTCACAAAAGCGCGATTTGTTGTTATTGTGAGTGCACACAGATAAACGTTGAGTCTTTACAGATTTGAAAGATGTATTACTCTTATCTGAATGACCAAAAATGACGGACTAGCCTATTTTGAGAGTACGTGAGCGCACCGGCGCCTCCATCTGTCCTGCAGTGAGCGCTACTGTTCAGCTTCTACACTCCACACACACACTTGAACAGCGCAGGCTATTCGAACCATATTTACTCTTAGTTTTAGCACAGGACTACTTGTTTTTTATTACAGCCCGTGATAATTAATACATTACAAAAACATTGTAAAAATAAAAAATTAGGCTAAAAGAAAGTCATCCTACTCCTCTACGTCTACTTCTATCATCGCTTGGATTACAGTGTCACGCGCCTTCTTTTTGAACCTGATTTTCTCCAATGA